TTTAGCCTACAGCTGACTCGAGGTAGAAACAAACGTAGTCTCTGCTAATCACATTCCTACTGTCCTTGTGGTGACTTGACCTGAGCCTCCTAGGGAAGAAAGACAGATTGCTCCTCCTGGGTTGTAAATGAATCTTTCTGGAAACAGAGCTATATAGCAAAAGCCCTTAAGCCTGTTTCAATAAACAGTCCTTATAAGAAGATGATCATTAATCCTTGGGCAATGTGCACATGCTCTCTAGGTGTGTTCATGGGTGTAGCCTCACATTGTATACACTTGAATATGTAATACTCCCTGGCCAATAAGAGTTGGCTGCGCATATACTTTGTCTAGCTCTATGGTTGATAGCATTTAATTCTGTGAGAATACAAAAAAAAAAATGACTGGAGGTTAAAAGATCTGATTCACTGAACTTTCTATTCATATGATGCATCTATGGTAGCTAACAACCAGCAGTAGACTGGACCATGGCTGGGGTAGGAAAATGTCAGTGACTTAAAAACACAAAGCATCTATGACTAGAATTATTCTAATTTTTTTAAATGTTTAAATGAATGAGTTTCCTGCTTTGATTCTTAGCAATCCCTAAAAGAAGCAGAGATATAAAGTCCAAAATGATAAAAGTGTTTTTGTTGCAAAAATATCAGTCCTCCCCCCCCCCCAAAAAAGTGTCTTTCTCTTCCATTCTAAGCATGTCTCTGATTAGGACCCAAAAGAATGGAAAGATAATTTGTTAAAAGAATATTTAATCTTCACAGCATAGGCTGATAAAGTATAATTTTTTTTAAAAAACCATTGGCAACTAGATCTGTGCGTATATGTATTTGTATGTGTACACATACATACATATATACGTATATATGTATATATGTGTGCATATAGACAGATAGATGGATTGATCATTTCATTAAAGAAATTGACCCTAGAAATGTCTAAAGTCACCGTTGTCTTGGATGTGGTACAACAAGAAATAAATACAATAAAAATTTATTAGTAACAACCTTTCAATATTGTCCTTAATCCTCAAGAATCATCCAGTCCCTGGGCTAAGTCCCTTGGAAGTTCTTCGGTGCAAATAAAAATGTTCTGTGCTGTTTCCAAATCGAATAAGGGAAAGAGACCAGTGGGGAAACTGCATTTCACAGGCTGAGAAGGAAGATTTGGTAATCATTTGTAACGGTCTCAGATAACCTGGCACTACAAATTGGCAGCTGACAGATTCGTAATTCAGAAAGGGCCAGACCAAATAGAATGACATATTAATATGCACTGATTGCTCCCTGGGATATTATAGGAGGTGAAGGGAAGGGGCTTGAGTAACCCTAATTAAAATAAAAGGGAATGTAACTTTCACTTATAAAACCATTCACACTACAATGGGCCTGTGGGATTTCTTGGTGGTTCAGTTGCAGCAGTAAGAAGGTCATTTAATTTTAATTTGGATGAAACATGTACAACAGAACACCTGGAAATGCTGGTCATTGATGCCCACAGAACCACAAGGCTCACAGACCAACGGACATGAATGTTTGCTTGTAAGCTTTCATAATTCTACCTTTGGTGCCAGAATCCTACTTTTGTTTTAAACCTCATTTGCTCAAAAATATCACCATTGCTGATGTTTAGGGTCAGAGAAAGGAAAATAAATTTCCAGCTGGTACAGTATGGAGCCCATTAATTTATGTCATCATTTCCTGATTTAGTGTGAGGTTGTCTGAGTGCCAAGATTCCCTTCTCAGAATATCACGTCTTCAGCCAACTTTCTTTTGGGTAGGCTACAGTTTTATCTTAAAGGCAGAGCAAAGAAAAGAAAAATCAATAAATCCCAGCAGATTAGACTCAGCATGTCAGAGAGACTGAGAGGAAGAGAACTGGGAGGAAAGAAAGCTGGTATTTGTGGTGGTTGTTATCATTCACTCAAGAGAGTTTCATCAAAACCAAGCCAAAATATTTGGGGGGAAGTTGTAAATAAGGGGCTGCACTGATATCTAGATCTGTGATTGCTACCTCAGGGTAAAAAGGCTTTCTAAGGAGAGAGGCTGTGCACCTCTCAATGGAACTGTACATTCATCACCAACATCCTGCCTCTGGGTGGTGATCAATGCTTGTTTCATCAGTTAAAGAGGAAAACACCTTGTCACATGCAATTCCCACTTTGCAAAAACGTTGGTGGGTTTGGGGAGAAGAGAAGCTTGTGAAGAGAGTAAGAGTCTGGCACATCGCAGTCAGGGTGTGATCTGACTTCCAAAACTTGATTTTTCGTGTGCATATCGATCCTTCTAAGAGCTTGGAGCATTCACCCTTCGCCACCAAATAAGACACATGCAACAGATTTTAATATCAAAAATACATTTTTGAGAATAAGCCTTCTTATTTGTAATGGAAAGGAAGAGAAACAGAATTCAAAATAGCAGATTTTTCCTACCAGTTTTACGAGATTAGGGAAAAATGGGAAAATGACACCTCATTTTAGGCACAGCAGATGAAAGTCTAAGACATAACATTTTATAAATGAGAAAGCAGTTGATTTTGGACACCTTTTGCCTAAAGCTCATGCCACCAAGAGCTTTAGGCTTCCCTTGAGGGTAGAGCTGGGGGACATCTTGTTCTTGAATCCATTATATTTTGCTGTTGGGGGGAAATAGTCCCTTAAATCTCCATCTACTTTCATTTAACATAGAGAAAATCCAAATTTCATAGAAAAGAATAAATAGTTCTCTATTTAAAGAATTTAGTTAAATGTCTCAATTTTGGGAAATGAGAGTTGACTGTACCTAGACAGTGTACATTTCTTAGAACTGAAGACACCAATGGCATTAAGACTAAAAGTATGTTTTAAGTGAAAGAATTAACGTATTTGGAATCTGAAAACCTGGATTCATGTCCTACTTTTTAGCTATGTGGCCTTGGGGCAGTCACTTCCCTTCTCTAGGCTTCAAGGTAAAATGAGACAATGGGACTAGATGATCTCAAAAGCCGCTTCTAGCCCTGACATTCTATTGACTCCAAGATAGACATTGAATCTTCACTCTCACTGAAATCAGACCTTTATGCTATGCTGGATGTGCTCTGTACTGGATTTCTTCAGTGTTTTCAAAATGTTAACAGTGATTCAGAGGGGTATTCATTTTGCTTTTTGCATTTTAAGTGCTTCAAAGGTAACTTTCTGGTGAAGTAATGGGACCGTGCAGACTAAAAGGGAAGAAGAAAAGATTCATTGTGTCCAAATGACCATTCCAGTCTAGCGCTGGAATTCAAGTTAGAGAACACTGAGGTGCAGGCCACAGCAGCTCGGGAAAGGTAGCCCTTCTACACAATGAATTTACAACCTGGCTCATCCCTAATGCCAACCATGAAACTTCTGTTCAAATAAAGTACCTGCTCATTGCCAAAAAAAAAAATGACTTTGAAACTTCAGGAGGCTGCCTCGGTGATTTTAAATTTTGCTTTCCAAGTGCCAATGGTAAATAAACTTTGCTAAAGGGCTGGCACTATATCAAGTTCCCATCTCTGTTTATGTTGTCCCAAGCTCTGCGTTCCTAATGGCAACACTCTTAGTCCAGCAAGGCTCTTTCCAAGGATCCTAATTTTCATCTAACTAGGTAGTATTCTTCTTCATTGTACTATTCAAAAATGGGAACACAAAACTAAATTTGATATAGCACATAATTCTGACTGTGGATCTAGTATTTCTATTGCTTCTTTTTTTTCAACCCTCTAAAAGATTGGAAATTTCCTGCTTCACACCTCTGTAATGAGGAAATAGCCAGATAGTCTTTAAGCTGCTAGTAAAATTGCATCCAAATGTATAAATCACCATTTAGATCACACATCATCATAGAATACATTTATCATCTGTGAACTACACACCTTTAAAGGGGTAAGGTTAATGGACCATCTCTTTATAAATAAATGATGTGCTAAATAAAAGGTAAAGGTGAACTGATGGGAAGGGAAAAGGGAAGGGAGGAGGGAGGAAGAGGGGAAAAAATCTGCAATAGTACCCAAAAGAAGTTTTGCTCAGTCTACCCACTTGGGGTTCCTATCACTAGTGTGGTATGGTCAACATGCCCAGTTCCTTCTAAGAGTTAAAAAGACATTCCCAACCTGGGTTCAAATGCTGACTCTTCCACTTAGCTACGCATGATGTTGGTGAAGTCATTAAACTTCTGGGCCTCAGCTTTCTCTCCTGTAACAACAGTGAGTTGGACTAGGGTCCCTTCCAGCTCTAAATCCTATGAACTCCTATGAAATTTAACGCAGAGATGCTCCCCAAGTTGGGGGAGGGAGGTGGGGGGAAGGGAGAAGAGAGAAGAACAGGAACTGTTAACTACAGTGGAAAGAACTCTGCACTAGACTGAGGAGGCCAGCTCTGCCACTTATCCTGGGACCTCCTAATAGTTACTTCTCTTCTCAAGGCCTCAGTTTCCCTTTCTGTAAAATTACTGGAGTTGGACTAGAAGATCTCTCCCAGCTCTAATATCATATGTTATACATTCTAATTGCGTGATTCTACTGTGGGGATTCTGCATCGAATTCACTGCAGACTAGGAAACCTGTCTTGGAACGAAGGGGTCACGGAACACTGAGCATAGCACAGGAAGTAGAAAGAGCAGATGTCTATTCTCCTTGTCAGTTTCCCAAGAATCCAAGCCTGAGACTGCACTGCCCAAGACTATTCCACAGAGGATCTTGGAAGCAGTGGTAGTATCTGGGTGGTGAGTTGTAAGTTGTGTTAGGCAGGTAAGCAGACTTCAGAAAACCGCTTTCACCCCTAAACAGGGCCAAGACAAACTCGCCATTACAGCTGTGGTGGATGTCACTAGGACGGAAGTTTCTCTCCATACACTATACCAGACACTAAAGAGCTCACCAGAAAACTTTCTGCTAGGGAAGGGCTAATCCCTATGTTATCCCCCTACCCCAAAACTAGCAGGGAATTTTAAGTGAACATTTTGTTCCTGCATCCAAGGCTGCCTGTCTGTCCCTCTTCCACCTACCTTGACAGCCTCAGCATGGGTCACTCGGCCCAAAGACTTGTCGTTTACTCTCAGGATCTGGTCGCCCACCCTTAGCCCTTCCTTCTCCGCCAGGAGCCCGGTTCCACCAGGGACACGTAAATTCCCACGCCGTGCTCAGAGCCACCTCGGATGCTGAAGCCGAGACCCTCATTGGTCTTGCTTCTCCTAAGACTCACAAGCCGGACCTCCCCGCGCAGCTCCTCCAGAGGAGCCCCCTCTGGGCCGGAACCGAAGTCCACTTGGGAGGGTCGGCTGGACAGCGACTGGGGCTGCGGGAGCCAGTAGCGGCTAGAGGAGGAGAGGCAGCGGCCGCACCGTCCAGCAGCCCCGGACCAGCCCCGTTGGCGCCCCCAGGGGTCGATGCGGTGTGGGATTTGAGATAGGGCCCCTCGGACGTGTACTGGTCGAAGAGCAGCTGGTCGGAGCGCGGTATAACCAGGCGCAGCATAGGCAGCAGCTGCCGCTTGTCCGGACTGTCAAGCAGCAGGCGCAGGGTCCGCACCAGGTCGTAGACGTTCCTCCGCGAGTGGTAAGCATTCAGGCAATGGGTGAACTGCTCCCGCTCCGCATCGTTCAGCAGCAAGTTAAGTGCGTGGTGCAGCTTGCGCACGTTGCCCGACAGCAGCCGGAGCCCGCTGCCAGCCGAGCCAGCCGCCGCCCCGGCCGCCGAGCCCAGAGAGCCGGTGGAGGACGAGGTCACCGACAGGCGGTCCAGCTGGGTGCTCATCTCCCGACCTCAGGTTCGCTCTGAAGAGGGGAGCCCTGGAGGCTGAATGGGGCTGGAGGCTGGGTGTTTTGCAGCGCTGGACCTCCTTCCCCCACCTCCAAGTCAGACCATTCCCGGGCTCCCCCAGCCAGGCCACTTCTTCTCCCTGGCCTGGGGGACCCCACCCCCTCAATCGGGGGCTCTACTCCCGAAGCCCCCGGCAAAGCAGCCTAGGCGAGTCCCGAGCTGTCAAACAAAGATCTCGGGGCATGTCCGGAGCCCAGGACCGTCCCCTGCGAAAGGTCCCCCGAAATGCAAAATTGGGGGAAAGTGGAGGACGGGATCCCCACCTCCAAAGTGCAATGGGGTACCGACTCCCGAAGTGCCCTGGAGCTGTCCCACGAGCAGGAGAAGTTGCTCCGAGGCCGCTCCGGCGCTCGCCGCCTCCCCAGGTCCGTAGCGGGGCACTTTTGCTAACTGTTGAGCTCCCCGCCCCCCGAGCTCCAGCGCCAGCCTCTGCTTCCAGCCTGTTCCGACGTCTCAACCCTCACCCCGCCCCCTGCCCCCCCAAACCTCCCCCTCCCGCGAGATCTTCAGGAAATGACGTCCCTCCTAGCGCCCTCCAGTTGCCAGGAGACGGGGTGAAACAGTACAGCCCGGGGAAAGGGGAGGGAAGGGGAAGGGGCGTAGGAAAGGAGGAGCTCTAGACCCTGGCGCCCAGGATGCGCTCGAGGCCAGTGCGCCTCGTCTTCCCTCTCCAAGTTCTTGTGTTCAGACTGCTCCCCCACCCCTCACCCTCTATCCCATTTGGGAAGACGCAGGGAAAAGCTTCAGGGTTTGGGGCTAGGTTAAGATGCACAACTTCTCTGACCATAATCTAAAAAAGTCAAGGGGAAAAAAAAATAGAAGCATATCTTTTTCAAAGAAATCGAGGCACAGCTATTGGGCTTCCTTTTTCTCCTTGAATTGTCTGGGTAACTGCCTCGGTTCTCCTCTAGCTTGGCCACAGCAGGCCCAGTTTAAATTAGTGTCTAGTGGGCACTGCTGTTGTTTTTAATAACCAGTTAAGCTGGCTTTAGGCATCTGCTTTATAGCAGCTGGTCACCAGCAATTAATAGCGACCGTCTTACTCTCTCCCTCTCAATTGCTGTTGAACCTTTGATACAATTACCCAAATACATTTAAATAAACAAAAAAAACCCCATACTTTTCTTCTCCCCGAAATATATTTAATTGGCCGTCTTCAAAGACTATCAAACATGGGGTGTAATGTATGCCGTTCAGATCTTCTGTGGATGAATTTCATGTTCAGCTTTCTCTTAGTTGGGTTTCTAATTATAATGACTGTGATTGGTTTGATAACGGCATCCCTGGAGTTATGCTATCACTTTGTTCCTGCAAAACCGCAAACACAACCACGCGCAGAACACCACCACCAAAGATGTTTATGAAAAGGTGTTTCTCGTTGGGAATCAGAAACAATGCTGGGCACTTATGATGGAAAAAGAAAGGTTTTTATTTGAAAACGCTGAAGGCTGTGCTAATGGTATGCTCTTGTCCTTTGCGTCAGGCACCAAGAGTGCAGGAGGTTGAGAGATAGGTTTGTTTTCTTACATCCATCTTGCATAAGCACCTTAGTATCAACTTGCCCTTTATACTCTTTAAGGAGAGGCAATGTACCTCTATCCTATATCATGTCTGAAGATGCATTTGGCTGTGCAAGAAATGATCACTGGGTTCACTGAAAAACCCAGACGTCTGTGCATTTGGAGATTGCCACGGGCCCAGCCCACAAGGAAGGGGAGGCAAGATTCCTACTAGACTGGTCTGAGAGGCTTTGGCGGTACTCTGCCCCCTTCAGAACGAAAACAGTCTTCCCATGTGTAGTCATCTCACTTTTCACTCAAAGTGAAACACTTTTTAAAGGGTTATTATTGTCCCCTGATGCTCATGAAACATAAGCAATCTTCTTCCCTTCTGTGACTTTTACAGAAACTCTAATCCAGGAGGTTGGGGGCAAGGAACGACAAGGTCGGAATGCACTTGACTAGTAGCATTTCCTGGATGTTGTTGGGTATCTTTCTTATTTAAACTCACCTTTTCTCACAGCAGATCTTGAAAGTTGTTTTATATTACAAAGCCATTTACATTTTCTTTTCCTTATCCACTGGGATATATTCTATAGAAGGTGATAAAAGCAGATTTAAATTCAATTTGGGACTGCACTTCCCATATCTGTTTACTCATTTATTTCATTCTGGAGTAGTGAAAGCCACTATATGAGACTATTCTAAGTACTGTAGTGATGGTTATAGGAATTAGAGCTAGAAGGGACCTTAGACATTATCTAGACCAACTCCCTCATCTGACAGAGGAGTAAACTGAGGCCCAGAGAGGGGGAATGACTTTCCCGAAGTCACAAGGCAGTACTTAGCATAGTAGGGATTTGTGTCCAGGTCCTGTGATTTCAAATCAACATACTTTGAACTAATATGTCATCTCCATAATTTCAGAAGTGTATCTTTGTTGACATTTTAACTTTTAATACATTTAAATTTTTAAATGTAAAACCAAACACAACATATGCATTGCCAATTAAAATCTGAATAACAATAATAGTAATAACTCCATATTTCATAGCTTTAAAATTAACAAGAATCTTCATCCTTTTGACAACAACTCAGTGAGGTAAGTAGTTTAAGTATTATCTCCATCTGAAAATGTAGAAAGTGAGGCTGAGAGATGTGAAAGGATTTGGCCAAGGTCTTATGTGGAATACATAGCAGAGCCAAGACTTACACTCAAATCTTCCCACTCAAAGACCAGGGCTGTTTCCATAGACTGCCTTATCCTTGAGTACTGATAAAGCTATGTGAGGAGTGGAAAAAGAAACAAAACAACACAACTGAGAGAAGGGATTTAAAAAAGGAGGGTGGGGATGTGTAGAGATTAAATATCCCTGGGACAGCTGGGTGGCATAGTAAATAGAAGGACAGCTCTGGAGTCAGGAGCACCTGAGTTCAAATCTGGCCTCAGACACTTACTAGCTATATGACCCTGGGCAAAACACTTAATGCTGTTTGCCTCAGTTTCCTCATCTGTAAAATGAACTAAAGAAGGAAATGGCAAACCACTCCAGTATTTTTGCCTGAAAACCCTAACTGGGGTCATGAAGAGTCAGACACAATTGAAACAACTAAACAACAAAACATTACCTGATATCTTGGCCAGAGAAAATGCAGGGTAATGGGAGCTCCCCTGACACTGGGCAGATTCTACGCCCTGCCAACAGCCAGATCTGAAATGGAATGAATGAGACAGCTTCTTCACTCTTGGATGTTACTACAAGAGAAAGGATTTCAACCAGTTAAGTAATCATTGCAGCTCATAGAGAGGCTTGGTTCCACTCTGGAGTGACCAGGAGGACAATATCAGCTGGGAAAAGGTAATTATTACCCACTTGAAAGGAAGGTAATTGATGGGAGTACAAGGAAATAGAAAAAGAGATGGAGAAAAGAGGAAGTATGAAAACATTGAGAAGAGAAATTAGATAAAATCTTTCTTCTGTTCATTTTGCCCTGCCTTCTTTCATCATCCTGGACAAGCCACTTAGTGGTCCTTAGAGGCCTGGATTTTAACATCTATAAAATGGAGAGGATGTTTTTGACCCATGTTACAGAGCCATAAGGGAGTAGTGAGTGAAAGTGATAGTAAATCTCTGGGTAAAGTGCCTCAGTTAGGCAAAACTGATTTGGGAACTAGATTAGGTCAGGGAAGGGAAAGAAGGCTTGCAGAGCAGTAGGAATGACCTTATCAATGATACTACAATGGATTACAATGGATATTGTAATCCATTTTGTTCAGGAATAGAAGAGAGATTCTTTAATGAGTGGATTATTTGGGTTTCACTGAGGACAAAACCATTCAATTCCTGTGCTGACTTGGTTTAAATTAGAATAGCTTTTAATGAAAACACTTTGCTTGCTTGGCAGAGAATTGTAAAAAAAAAAAACTTTAGTCCAATTAATCTGAATATTCTAAGTGAAACTATTTTGGGGGTCTGAGTTACAGGGATAATTGCCTCAGTTCTCCACTGCACCATGTGTGTTTTTAGAATTTAACTGGCAGAGGGTAGAGACAGCATGATACACTAGTTGAGTGAAAAGAATACCAGGAATAGGTAGTTCACAAATGAAGAAAACAACCATATGAAAGAATGCTCCAAATCACTAATAATAAAAGGAATGCAAAGAAAATAGTTTTCGACTCATATCTAGCAAACTGACAAAAATGACCAAAGACAGGATTAGTCAGTGATGGAGTAGATGCAGAAAGAAAGGCACTGTTGGTGGAGCCGGGAAAGTAATTTGGAATCATTTGAAGAAAGTGACTAAAATGTTTATATCCTTTGATCCAGCAATTTCACTGCTAGGCAAATACCACAAGGAAGCAAAGTCTCTGTATACACCAAAATATTTATAGTGGAACTTTTTGTAGTAGCTAAGGACTAGAAATAAAGTAGAGGCCCATCACACTGGGGAATGGCTAAACAAATGGTAGTATATGAATGGAATGGAATATTACTGTTTCGTAAAAACAGTACTGTGGACAATACAGAGATATATAAGAAACTGTCTTCCCCCTCAAGGAGCTTAAGATCTATAGGAGAGAGCTAACAGTGAAGGTGAGCCTAAATAAGTACCTTCACCCCATTTAAAGTAAATGACAAGATTTTAACTAGGTGGGAACACACCTAGATATGAACAAAGCCTAGACACCTCCATTGAATCAATCAATCATTGGCTTTAGATTAAGTTTAAAAAGTCCTTGACCAGAGCTGCTAGGTGGTGCAGTGGATAGAGCACTGGCCCTGGATTCAGGAGCACCTGAGGTCAAATCCGGCCTCAGACACATAACATTTTACTAGCTGTGTGACCCCAGGCAAGTTCACTTAATCCCATTAGCTAGCCCTAAAAAATATATATAGCAAAAAAAAAAATTAAAAAATTAAAAAGTCTTTGACCAATTTATTGTCTTTGAAAGACAATCGATGAACTGGCATGATATTGCACAGGAATTCCATTTGGATTGGTTGAGGGACTTAGTCATGCCCCGGTGGGGCAAGCTACTCAGAATCAGGGATTTGATTGTCTATCCGATTATTGATTGAAGCTTCCATTCAAGCTCCTGAAAGAATTTTTTCTCCTTGAGGGCAGGAGGGGTGGAATGAGAGTGCCTCAGTCTCAGCCTTAACTGGATGAGGATCTTGCAAACTTTGGAGAATCACAGGATTTGGACCATTTTCTTCAGCATCCTAGCTAATAGAATGACAATGTCTACATCAGAGTAGAGGATAGACTGGACTTGATAAAGGAAGCCATATTCAAGGCTCTTTAAACCCAGCAGAAAATTACCATACCTAAGGGCAATATCTTAAGGACTCTAGCAAAAGAATTTCTAGAAACCAAGTTACCCCACCTTTGCCATACATTGGTATAAGCTTGAGCTCACTCTCCCCTGCACTCTATAA